AAAACAGATAAAACATACTTACAAATAGACTAGGATATATTAGGAAGAAATATTTTCTTTATAATTTGTCTAAAGGATAGACATTGGATCAGTAATAATACTTCCCTCAAATATTAACATCTGATTGATAATATCAGTCTTTTCTGTTCTTACCTCTTAGGTAATAGGGATATATTAAGTATGTTGATATGAAAGTAATCACATCTTGTAAGATTTTATGTGTTAAATATATACTAAGATTTTCATTTTTTAAAAGATAATTTTAATGTGGGATTCTATTTTAACCTGTATTTTTCTCATAATCTGTAGATTATTTATGGCATTCAGCCATTTTTCTGCCTGAATATAGACATTCACCTTAAGTTTTGCTTTTCTTTTATTTTTATGTTTTATTTTTGAGATGGAGTCTAGTTCTGTCACCTGGGCTAGAGGGCTGTGCTGTGCCATGTCATCAGCCTAGCTCATAGCAACCTCAAAACTCCTAACCTTAAGCTATCCTGCCTCAGCACTCCCAGAGTGCTACGATTACGGGTGTGAGTCACCACGCCTGGCCTGAGTTTTGTTTTTCTAAAAGTAGTATTCTCTTAAGTTAATAACGAATCTTTTAGTGGGAAGAAACTTAGGATATGCTTTGATCAGACCTCACAGTACATTTATTCAAGTCTTGTAACCAAAAATTTTGACAATGTGCCAGCTTATCTGGGAGAGGATGGGGACGTTGGTGGTTATCACTGATGTGACAAGAGGTACAGGTATATTTGAAGAGACAGGGAAGACCTACTTGCTATAGGTTGGGACCCAGAGCTTCCAAACTGTCATGAAATAGTTTAAATGGCTGATATTTGATACAGGGATTATTATTAAGCCTTTTTAAAACAGATCTTCAGGGGGCATAATAAGTACAAGTAGGCAGCAGGTTCTTTTTTTTTTTTTTAACATGAGTTTGATAAAAAATGAATACTGTTATGAAGGAGTTTGTTCTGAAATGCTAAGTAGCCTAAAATTTTCAGCAAAAACTGACCATTCGTGATTGTTAAAAGAATTTGAATAGAAATCCTTTCGTGTGCTGTTCCTTTCCTATAATTATAGCAGATATTGGATTCTGTACCAATGGTGCTATTATCATAGTCCTAATACAATAGATCCGAAAAGCCTAGTGGTAACTTGCTTGTTTTAAGCAGTACTCTTTGAAAAAATTATTTTTCATGACTTAAGAAAGTCTTTGTATGTTCTGTGAGTTTTTCTAATTCCTAACACTGATGCTGTTTTAAAGGGAATATACATTTCTACTTGGGATAGTTTTCAACATGGTATTGATTTGAAGGGCTTTGGCTTTAAATGTTTTTACAGGTTTTAAATAAATAATAATACTTTTTTTAACACTGATATTTTTCTCCATAGGTATTTGGAGATCTTAACAACATGGCAGACATTGACAAGTAAGTGGCAGATAGTTGGGTTGTTTTTCAGAGATTTGACATCACTTCATACTGTGATGTAATTAAGTCTTAGCAGCTGTACAAATTTTGTATTATGAAAATGTATCATAATAACTAATGCTTAGTATCTGAATATGTTGGGTACAGTGTATCCAAGTTAAAATATATATAATTATTGTCATAAATAGAGTAAATCATTTGTCAGTTTTTATTCTTAGGAAAGTGCTGAGCACAATAGTGGATCATTTTTACCACATATGTATTTTCCAAAGATTTTACTGGTTACATTGTAATGAATCATACATAGTATATGTATAAGATGTGTATACAATGTGTATGTAGAGTTTAAACAATATTAAGACACTTGTGTACAATTTAAAAATAAAGCATTACTATCAGAAGCCCTGTGTGCCCATTCTCAATTGCATCTTCCACCTTTCCTCTCTAGAGGTGTAAGCACTATCTTGGCTTTTGTCTTTAGAGTTTTACCACCTATAAATTCTCAATCTGTGTTTAATTTTGAAAATCTGAACAGCAGTCACAAACTTAAATGTGTAAAGCAATATTATGGCTGTGAATTGAAGGCTCCAAGAAAGGATAATAAAAAGAAAAAGAGACTATCTGGATCATAGTCTGGCTTCAGCTTTCCTAAGTCTTTACAAGGACCTGTTCTGGAGAAGTCATTGAGCTAGGTCATACATCCTGGGAAACATAGGTTTAATCAAGTCGGCATGTGACAGGGTTCTAGCGTGGGTGGATGTTTTGCAGAAATGTAGTCAGGGAGAATGGGATTAGCTGCACAATATTTGTTGTTTGTAATTTTACAGTAGCCTGTGTTAAAATAAAATACTTGGGAGTGAAGAGGATGATATTGATTATCCACAGCTGTAGTACGCATCAAGGCATGGAGGTGGGAGGGCAGGAAACTTCAACACAAGGTCAACACATGCAAGTACTACTATCTTCTTCAGGTTTCCTTTTGTTTCTCCTCTCTTGGGTTTGCCGTTTGCTATATCTCACGTTGTTTACTTCTTGGTTCTAGTACCTTCTTGGAAGAGTACAAGTGAAGTAAATTATTTTGAGATGTGGAATGATTGAAAAATGACTCTGCTTGATTGTTTGGGTGTAGAATTCAAAGGTGGGAATTATTTTTCTTTGGAATTTTGAAGGCATCGCTCCATTGTCCCCTTGCTTCCAGTGTTGCTGTGTTGAAGTTCCAAAGTCATTATAATTCTTGATCATTTATGTGATAATTTCTTTTTAATATACAGTAGTATATATATTTCTGGAAGCTACTCTGGCTTCAGAGTTCTGAAATTTTCACATTATTTTGTTGGTTTTTTCATCTCTTATGTTAGACATTCATTGGTAGACCTTTTCAGTCAAGCAATTCAGTGGCTTTCAAAGGGAATATTCTTGACTTAACTTTTTTGATTGTTTAGTTTCTGTTTTTCTGAAGCTCCCCGTTAGATGTTCTATGTTAGATTGGTCTTCTAATTTTCTTTTGTCCCATTTTTCATCTTTGTTTTTTTGCTCTTCTTTCTGCCATGAGCTGAAGAATCTTATCTTTCAAATCTTCTATTGTTTTAGCTTCTAAGATCTCCTTTGTTCTCTGTTCCTGTTTTTTATTGCATCCTGTTCTTGTTTCTTTGATTGTAATGTCTTTTCTCTGGATATTTCTTCCTTTTGTATATAGTCTATTTGCTCTTAAATTTTCTTTTCCTTGTTTGTGTTTTAGTTTCTGCAAAAGGCTTTCCTCAAGTATGAGGCAATACTTTGTTGTCTGCTCATTAAGATTGGCTGGGGTGGGAGTAAGGGTAGTTGAGGGATGTTTAAAAAAAGTTGATTGGAAAATTTGAGTGTTGGAGGGGGAGGCTTATTAATTTGGGATTTTAGTGTAGAGTCATTAGAGTGGGCATTTGTTATGAGAACCCGAATGTCAGAATGGTGTTTTTTCCTAGGTTGGTAGATTCTCCAGTGAACAGTATCTGGGTAAAGATCTGGTTTTCAGTATTGTGGGAGCCAGACTGGGAGAAGGTAGCTAGGGAGAGGTCTCTGCAGTCAGCATTGGAGTGTGAACATAGCCTGTCCTGTATCTTTGATGCTTTCAAATGTCTGTGGTCTCCTACTCGAAGTTCTGAGTTTTACCCTTGCCAGAGAAGAAACTGCCATATTTTTGCTAGGGTTGGGGGAGAGATCTAAAGATTTAACTGCTTATCAGTTTTTACTTAGTCCTTCCTATTTTAGCTACCTTCATACCCTAGGCTTAGTTTTATAAGTGTACCTGGTGCTACCAGTTCTTTTGAAGACTCTGTGTTCGGGCTGGTTCTCAACTTTCCCCACTGTTAACATAGATTTCACTTCTCTCTGTGAAGTTGATTATCACTTGTCTGTTTTCCAGCTTTGACAATTTTGTTACCCTTATCTCCTTGCACTTTAGTGTTTAAAAACTCCCTTATTGTAATTTTAGTGGGGATTTTGGAAAGATTAAGGTCA